TTTTTTTTCGCGGGAGAAACACCTTTACTTGTCGTTGCTGGTTTGCAGAGTGTATGTTCTCACCAACTTGTTCTCACCACGGAGAAATAATACTTAGAGGTTTATATGAAGCAAATAAATGCATCACTTCAACAACACTGAAATTCATTCACTGTTGTCTCTGACTACATGAAGTCGTCGCCGCTCCGTCGGAGTAGATAATTGCGTGGTGTGCGGCATCCAGGTTCACATGGTGGCACCTTCTCCACCGAGTGCAACACAAAAACTGGGCAACAGGTCCAGACGTGAGTCGTCGTTGTTCCTTTAACCCGTTGCCGCTCAGCATTTGGCCCTACTGACCAAACCTGGAAATGGGCAAAATTTCCAGNGGGGAACACGTGTTAGGTACTGTATGTAGGTTGTCACCCGGGAAAACTGGAACCGGGTACCCGGTGGGGTCTTATGGGGTGGAACCGGCGACCCGGGTACCCGGATACTAGAGGCGCATTAGCCTCGGGGGTGACAAGGGGTACCCTGGTACCCGGGTACCGGGATACTAGAGAGAGGCGCATTGCCCTCGGGGGGTGACAAGCGTACATACAACAGTCACAGAGCATAATGACCTGCCGGAGGACGATGATGCCGAACACAGTGGACCGCCTACCCAGGATTAGAATGGGGAGGGGGCACGCAGACCCTATTATCCCTAACCCTAGCCCTCACCCCAAAGCACGGGTTCATGTTTTATCCCATATGTTTGCTTATTATTGCACCAAAGTTCGACCTCCGGGTCTTCCTATGGTACTTTGAACACAATTTTTATTTACTTAGACATGTTTAGACTACATATTTATTTCTCCCATTATTGGACTCTGTCGTCTGCCCCTCTGGCCCCCATCCTCTGCTTCTGACAGCTAGACGACCCAACCGGGGTCACATAGGAGGGGGGGGCTGGACCCCCTCCTGCGGTTCCTGTCTGAGATATTTTTATCGCGCGAAGGTTGCAGCAATCCCTTCCCTCGCGACTTATGAAGTCGATCAAGCTTACTAACCACGAGCTTCGGCGCGTCGCTTCCAACTTAGACCAGGATATATTTCAGTGAGAACAAAACTCAATCTGCCGGGACTAGAACTCATTACCTGGCCCTTAGCGCGCTGCGAGGGTACCCACTAGACCACCGGGGCGACCAGTGTCAATGATTACTCGCGTATTTTCTCTGCTGCAAGAAGGGCAAAAAAACATCGCTGCGAACGGGTTGTGACCCGGCATTTTCAATTGCTGGACTTTGTCAACACACACACGCACACACTCTCCTGTCAGGAAGCCTGCACTGCACGATCATACAATGTAAGCATATTAATTCGATGCTGGGTTACTCCACAGAGAAAACAAGGGCTTTCTGAAGTCTTCAACAAGAACCCTTTCATTGGGTCCATCTTGATCGACCCTTATCCATTTGGGATCAACGCCTATTTTTACTCGCGTGTACGCTCTCCGCATTCACATGTTAAATTGAATTTCATTCGTACTCGGTGGAGAGGGGGACGATAACATATATTGACGAAAGTTTTAATGTCATCTTGCCGATGCCCGTACAACAAAACGTCAGTACACTGCCAAGCACTTCACCATAGTTCAGGTGTAGTCTATAGCTTCGTGAGTCTTCGGGGTCGTCGTCAATCGATGTAGGGGGCTGAGCGAGCATCCGCACACACAGGGAGGATTATTTTGTGGCTGCCCGTACCCTAGGCCCCATCAATAGATATGTGGCTGAGTGCTGCAGGTCAAGAAGACCGCAGACCGCAGCTTCCGTCGTGGCAGCATTACTCCAAGTATATCGAGGCTACCTGCAGTGTAGTATAGCTTGCCGCACGGGTAAAGCAGCCAATCTTTCACCTAACAGGCTTAGCTACTTCACATCACCACGCTGTGTGTGTACAATTGCCTTTGCTGGCGGTCGTCCGTCTACTCGTTGTCGCATAATCTTCTCCCAGGCAACGAGTGGCAACCGCTGTCGAACCGAAGGAATACTCTGCTAAAGGGGAGTTTAAGAGAGAGCATCCGCAGCAGCAGCAGCTCGCTCCCGTTGCAAGGGCGCGAAGTGAAAGCGTCTTGTGTAAGCGTGCCCACCAGATACCTTCCGTAGGCCATTCGTTGGGTCCAGGTTCTCGCAGTAGGTGGCCACATCATGCCTTCCAGCCTCCCTTGTATTTGCATGTCGCAGGCAAGCAAGCCGCGTGAGTGCTTAATCCTGACTCAGCACAGCATTTTTATACTCACCGCACCAACATTTGTCCACGTCATCTTGCCCACTCAAACAAATGTTTTTGGGCGACATGCCCCAAGTGCCCGACATCGCAAACTGCCTTGCTTTCAATGTGAAGCCATGAGCCTGGTTGATCCAAGACGCCGACGTTTACGTTTCCCTTCAAGGTCGGTAAAGAATGTAAAGGAGCTTGATAGGTCGTGCGCGCCCATCTCGTCCGACGAGTTGAATGCATTGCGCTTGAGCATCACTTCCAGCTTCAACCGCCGCAGTCCCGTGAGACCACCCGCTATTCCTGCCTAGCTAATGTAACGCTGGTGCGATCGGGATGACTTCCCGGCAATCACGCCGCACAAAGACCATAAGGCGGAGGACGCTTCCGCATTCAACTGAAGCCGCACCTCCGCACACTCTGCTTCACTCTCTGCTAGAAGGCTGGATGATTCAACAATGACGAGGCGTCTGGAAGAAGGCCAACAACAGTCGCCCTCGTCTCGTTGAGCACATGCTGCTCGTCTCCGCCGCTAAAAACTTCGCACAAACTACGGCTAGGATGTGCAGTGTGGTTCCTCCACTCTTTCAGGCCTCTCATGACTCTCATGAGGGAGACGAGAGCTCACGAAGTGTGCCGTCTTAGACAGAAACACCGCACTTTTCGCCCATTTCCGTCGCCAAAAGGACCCGCAGCTCGGTCTCGCCGTCCCGAGTATTCAACCATCGCTTGCTCTCTTCGTGGTACTCGAACCGCATCGGCCCACTTGAAGTGGAACGCACCACCAAGGAAATGACAATGGGCACGTCGAGGCAAGGATAAACACAAAGGAGATAAACGGTTGGCGCGCGCATCTGACCAAGAGAGATGGATCGAAAACGTTGTAACGTGCGCCTCCTGTTTAGTGTCCGATACATGTGCCATGGGCTTGTTTCACGATTATCCTTCCCCAATATTTCGGAAGAAGTTATTCCTACAAGATCCTGTAATAAGCGGTGTATCGGGGGTATCAGTCCATGGCAAGTTAGTAGTCCTCCTCCAGCCCCTAAGAGAAACGAGGCCGGCATATTTCTCCTTCGGCATGTTCGGCTCTGCCTACGCGGATGTGGATGGGATAAGGGTAGTTTTGACGTACACGAGAGAGGCGACGGGACATTGCCGGCGGGCGAGCTGGCTGGCAGGTGACGCCTCCCATGGCCGCTAGACAAACGTCAATGACGCGTTGAGGGCATGCACTTGAAGCCTCGATGTACACGGCAAAAAAAACAACCACAACTTTTTTTATCCCATCCCGACCTGCGCAGGCAACGCCGACTACGCAGAAGGAGAACAGAAGCCAGGATGGGGCACGTTCCCCGGAACATTATGCAGCAAGAGTGAAGGAGGTAAGTCGTTGCTGTGGTGGTTGCCGCGTACATCGAGGCTGCAATTGCATGGCCTCAACGCGTTACTGGCGGTGGAAAAATTGATTTAGGAGCTTGCGCGAGATGGTCAAGACGCAACCAATTTGCTCGGCACTGTCCTCAAGATCTCACACGTGTTCATGTTGTTGTTGCTGCTGTTGTCGCCACCCCCGGCTCCCCCCTTACACGCCTCGGCGGGAGGTGACTCTTCAGTTTCGTCGGTCGGCATTGACGTTTGGATATATTTTGATAAGTTGACGCTCTCACACTGATTGCAGGTTATCGTCAGCGTTCACAGAGCGGGACGCGCTGACGTGTGCAACACAGCAAGCTGTGCGTACAAACTGCGCTATGCACAGCAAGGGGACGGGCGCGTCGACGAAACACGAGTGTCTCCAAAGGAGTAACAATATCCAACATAGGACATGCAGATCTCAATGAAAGACGTCGATCGCTGTCGTCCTCATCAAGCGTTGGAGCCCTGTTGGAGCATCCGCGTCTGTCAAGGTCGATCCTTGGTTCTACACCCAGGTGCCGAAATTCTCGAATGCGTCGATACAACCGCGTCCGTTGAACGCCAATCTCGTACACAGCCGAATGGCTTTACAATGAAAATGCCCGTGTTTATCGGTTTTCCTCCAGGGAGGGGCAAGCAAGAAAGAAAGAGTGAGCCTCATACGGCTCAGACACACAGGATCCAGAACACGGTCTGCTGTCGAATAGACCCAGAAAGCTCCCAACCGACAAGTGGAGAAAACGAGGACACACCGACAAGCCCACACACCTGATCGGGCTCGACCACCAGATTTGGCGGTTGGGCGACTGCTTGTTGAGTACCCACGTGCCTCGGTCACCCACAATGATGTTCAAGACGCCTTGCTGAGAGGACGTTAGCAAGCCACAGGCAATGTCGTGTTGGGCCCCGACAAAACGTGTTCAACGCGCAACAGAAGGGGGGCGGATTCACGCGATCAGGAATGCCATGATTTGGTCACCCTTCCTCAATCTTGCTTCAAAACAAAGGGGGGCAGATTGTGCTCTTGATATGTACAGACTGGCAGTGCGTGTTGTTTCCAATGACCATTGGGAGGCCGGTTCGTTTCCACAGCACATGTACCGACCCATTGAAGTCGGATTTGCAGCGAAGAGCACCTCACCGACATGGTGCAGTCGAAGTCGTCCTCGAAGCCTTCTTCTAGAGCCTCCTCCACGGCGTCATGGATCTCCTCGAGGGCTTCGTCGGCCACCGAGTGGAACTCCTGCTCCGACATGGTCGTCGATGACATGCCCTGCCTCTGCATGGATACGACACCCATGGATGTTACAATCTCTCCCGCCCCCGGACCAATCATGCTGGCGCCTCCCATCGGTACCGACGAACGTGCGGTCAAACTGCTCCCCCTTCTCCTACCGCTGCCACCGCTGCCACCGCTGCCACCGCCGCACCACGTGTCCAACCTCGCGCCGACCAATATCCTTCCGGACGCACCGCATAAGGACGAGTACGATGTTGTAGTCATGTTTCCGGCATTTGATGGGAGTCGAGCAGGACGCAGAGATGACACCCCGGCCACTTCGGCCGCCTCGATGGTTGTTGATGTTGAACGCGGTTGTGCGGCGGAATATTGCGTCAACGTGATTTTGGTGTTCTTTCTCGTCGAAGCTCTGACCGCTTGCATATTAGCCAGTTGTGCCGAACTCTCCTTCCGGACCAGTCGAGATGCTCTCTTCAAGGTGCTCATGGTAGCCTACAACGCAATGCTATGTGCCAAGGAGTGGCTAGCCAACCCCGGTAGGGGCCCCCAGGCCGACATCCGGCTACATAAGGAGGGCACAAACATTGCAGCTTCAAATTGCGGGGCTCCGAGTTCAGCGTGGGCCCGCTCGTCTCTCTACACCCATAGCTACTTCTTGGAACAACACCAGGCACCCGACACCATCCTGTTCTATTCGTGGATCTCTGGAGTTGGGAGATCTTGGGGCCCTTCGTTCCAAAATTCGATTGTTGTTACCGATTTTGGTTTCTGCGTCTCTCAAGATGTCCATGTTGCAATGGAGCGTCCTTCTGGGTGTGCTACACAAGGCGGCTGCTTTCGTCTTGTTGCCACCTGCTGCCGGGCCTACTGCATCAAGCTCTTGTGAGACGAAGGGGGCCAGATTTTCCGTGTTGGTTGGTGTTTTGAGATGCTCGTCTCCCCCTGTTTTGCTGAGCACGCGTGATGTACACGTCAAGCGTAGTAACCGAAGGGTACCCTGATCATGTGTCTCTCCCATGTGTAGGCTATTATAGGCGGCAGGCAGTCTCCAACCGGCGCCTGTTGCCTTATTTAGCACCGTCATCACCATGTGCTAGGCCCTTCTTTGGTTGTATGGCCGCTAGCTTGCGATTGCAACGTGTTGCCCTTGGCCTTCCTTTACATTGCAACAGAATCTCGCGCTCGTGGCCCGAGCCTGGGTGTGTTTTCTCCAAGTTCAGTTCATGTGTGTGTACGGATCGACCACGACCGCCTTCACCCCAACCAGCTGGTATATCCGCGCCCAGGCTTCGCGGTCATGTGACATTCCCGCTCCATGTCGCGCTTTGTCTCCCGGTACACGTGATGCTGGGCTCATGGTAGTAATAACGACCCTCTGGTTGACGTAGGGCTGCATCCTCGGCGGTCCCGCTCTCCGCACGCACACATCCCCAACAGGGGACGCAGGACACTCGAATTTGTACTACTGCTGTTTCCTGTTCCTACAAAAGCCCATCCCATGCGTCCGAGTAGCTGAGGGAAGAGCTTGCACTCTGAGAACACTCTGCCAAAATTTGACACGCGATAGAAAACACGTGCTGTTGTGTGCTTGTTTGAGTAACTTGCTTGCTTGTCTTTCAAATCGGAACGCCTCGCAGGATGGGCAATTGGCGCGGCGGAAAACACTACACTACGAAGGGTCGCTGAGAGCGTCCGCTTCTTTTCCTCTCGATTTGTGCAAGTCTGTTCCTCGGCGCCCTAGTATCGAGCCCGAAACGCCTGTCGTCATTTTTTTTTTTTCCCTATTCCAAAAACGACCCGTGTTCAGTTCTATCCGAAGATGAGAGTCAGGATAACTTTCGGTTGATTCATTAGTGTTTTTTTATTACCAAACTCCGTTTCTGTCAGTCTACCAGTAGCATATCTACCTCCTCCTGTGGGTTACAGCAGTCTCGAGCAAGACCGGCAGTTGGGTGGCAATCTTGTGTCCCGACAGTTTTCGGTTTGCTCGACTCGCAGGGGTACGGAGCACGTGCGGATCGAGCGCTAGCAGCACCTCTGCTTGGACGACATACCCGACATGCATGGTCAGGGGGCAGGCTGCAGCTGTGGCGGGTGCTGCTCGCGCGTCGCCGCCGGGTAGGCCCGCCTCTACCGCGAATATGAGGAGGAGGCCAACGACTCTCGCTGCCGGGGTCGATGGGTGTTTCCACGCATCCCCTGGGAGGCGTTCGGGGGGGAGTGGAGAAGGCGGAAGACGAAAACTGGGTGAGGAAATATGAACGGCGGCAGCCTTTTGCTATATGTAAGGCATCGACTGAGGACTGTACGTCCGATGGCAGTTGTTGTTTCGTCTGCTCATAAAGCACGCGGTGTGCACTTGGCCAACGCGGCAACAAGGGAGCCTTCGCGTGTCGATAGGTGACAGATACCGCACCCGCTGGACCGATTTACAAAGCTCGACTACTTCTCGAGAAAAGGTGATGTCTTCGTTTTGGAAAGCTCTCAATGGGGCTGTTCCAACGCCGCCACCACTCTCACAGCATAGTATGCCTGCTGGGGTCGGATTCTCCGATAAGCTGCTGTTGCTAAGCACGTTGTGCGGTTGGCAGTTGGAGAATGCGTTGTGGCTTTTGACTATCCCAACATGACAGCTGTAGGCAGCGACAAGAGATATCCGTCAAAGTGTGGAGGAGGACTGGTTTGTGCTCCGATCATCTCGACATCGCTTCCTCTAGGTGCTGTTGTGCTTGCCGGTGTTTGCATTTCGTACGCATTTCTTCATGCATGACCGTAGGCACGAAGCGATTTTGGTATACATTTGTTGTGGCCTACTCACTGCCCGAAAAACTATTATGCAACTGCTCCTGTACCCATGTGCGGGTTTGGAATTTTCTTGCCCCTTTTTTTTTGTGGGTGTGTTTTTTGTCTCTTGGACGGGAACGTTTTCTGGCCAAGCATAGGAGGAGGGACAACTTTGAAGCAAATGTTGAAAATATCTCGCTCTTGCTCGTTTTGTTCTTTGCGACGGGAACGTTTCCTCCGTGGCTACGTAGGAGGAGCAACGGGGCGGACGTCGACGATGAGAAAGTCTTCGACACTGGAACAGGACGGCGTCGAAGACAACGAAGGAGCGGTTGACTTCTCCTCCGTAGGGCCCCCACCCCCTGCTCCCGTGGTGGAGGAGGAAGAAGAGGAGGACGATGGCGAGCCTGATCCGGTGAGCGAATGTGTGTCTTGCTCGGTTGTCGCCGTTGCAATGTTGTGGCTCTGTTGTATTGTGCTGATGCGGTGAGAGAGAATTTGTCTTTTGTTACGGTGGTCGTCGTTGTGGTGTAGTATAGTTGTGTTGTACTGTACTATCCTGATCCGGAGAAAGAATTTGTCTCTTGGTACGGTTGTCGCTGTTGTCATGTTGTGGGGCTCTTTGTATTTTATTTTGATCCGCTGAGAGAATTCGTCTCTTGGGTTGTCGTCGTGGTGATGGTGTGGGTCTGTTGTTTTGTACTTCTGGTTGTGTAGATTTGTTGTATTATGCTTGTTGGTTTGTATTTGCTGTTGTGATGGTGGTGATGGTGATGTCGCGTTGTTGGTTTTGTGCCCGCTGTCGCTCCTTGGTGTTGTGGCCATGGCTGCCGTTGATATGGGTGTTTTGCCCCGCCAATGTGATTGCGTAGTACCAATGAAGGGCGAGGGCACACACCGGCATGGCGGTGCTATTTTTGCTTGCATATTTTTCGGGTGATGTGCGCCTCATTTTGGCGTTTTTGGCGGAACTTTGTTTTTTTGTTTTGTGTAAATCGAGTGAACTATGTTTCCATATGTGAGCACAAGCGCCCCTACGTCTGCTTGCCTTGCCTACATGCTACAGCCACCGCTGCTGCCGCTGCCGCTGCGAGCGGTCGCTCTGTTGGCGTTTTGTCCTTGCTGTTGGCACTGTTGTCACGCATGTCTATGCCTGCTGTTGTTGTTGTTGTTGCTGCTGCTGCTGCTGCTGCTGCTGCTGCTGCTTGTTGTGAGCTTCTGTTCTTCGATATGGCGGCCGTGTTTCATCTCGTTTAGTGCACGGTGGTCCGTGAACCGGTTGGCTGTTTTTGACAGGCGAAGGACCTGGCGGAGGTGGTGATGCAAGCCATCTTCGAGTGGAACACCAAGAATGATGTTGTCGATGCCGAGCGACCCACGTGAGGATCATGATGATCTTTCTTCTATTGTTTGTTTGCGTGACGCGCCATCGTCTGAGCAATTGGTGCTGAAGTCGTAAGTATTAGCTTCGGCGTAAGAAATGTGAGGGTTCATTGTTCACCAAGTCCTTGTACAAGAAAGAAGTTGTGAGTCCTACCCACACGAGCATATTTTCATTTGCTGCTGGCTCCCTCTCTGGTCAAGTATGGAGAGCGAGAGGGTCTGCGCAAGCTATGATTTGCTTTTGGTGCGGTCTGCATGATGCGAGTATTTGCACCTCCTTGCCACCTGTCTCGAGCAGGGTGGACCTGGATGCGGTGGTGGAAGAGACGTACCAGGAGGCGATGCGGTTGTACGAATACTACGATCAGATGAACGAAGAGATCGCCAAGCAGGAGCGGGAGGAAGCGGAGAAGGCCAGAGAGGCGGAGGGACTGCCGGTGGTGATGGATGCCGAACTGGCGGAGGACGAAGAGGTTGGCAATGACGTCATGTTTTTGGTGCAGTGACGTCCTGTTTTTATTTGGTACGGCCTTACTATGAGCCGTTGTCATCGGCTATGGTTTTGTTTTGTGTATTCACAAAGTGTTTGGCGTCTTTGATGTCTTTGCAGCTGGTATTCTCTCTTGTGGTCGCGCTCTCCAGGCTTGCCCTGGCTCTGCTCGCAGCGATAGGTTCAATAACGGAGAACCCCTGCCCAGTTATTGATGCGACATTTCTGTCGTTGGGAATGGTGTTTTTCTGCTTTTGCTGCCCTTCGACATACACGCGTGATACGTACATCGTGCGGGAACTCTTCGTAACGCCCGCCCGCCCGCCCTTTCTTTTTTTGTCCGGTCCTCTTGTGGTGTACTATTTGTCCACTGCGTCTGTGTCTCATCGGGGGTGTCCCGACCTGCCGGGTTTTGTGCCGCGGGTAAAAATGTGGCGACGCATGAATCAACATACCTGTTGGTGAGCAGTCTGGAACTCCTTATCGGCCTCCCGTGGCTGTGACAAGCATCTTCGAGCCGAGCTTCGAGGATGACGACGAGATGCCAGGTGCGCGCGCGCCCACACAATGTCCATCGGCCGTGTCGTGCCGACGAAGAGATGCTATTGATTCCGTCGTGCCACAGACGTATCGACCTTTTTTCCTCCGACGCTATATATCTGGCTTTTTGTTGAGGTTGTCACCAGTGTGTTGTGTCGAGGGGGGGGG